TGCAGAGCTGGCTGAATTATTATAATCAAAACTTTGAACAAAAATGGCTTTTGGAACAGAACAATTTTTGAAGAAAATGTTCATTTGAGGTGAATTTTGTTTGTTTGTTTGCCTTTCCAATGGAAAAAAACAAATAAACTGAAAATCACTTTTTCTAGTAAAGTAAAAACCAACATTTTCCAGTTTTCAAAAACCAAAAGTTTGGCATGTTTATTTTTTCCTGTCCTTAGAGCACAGGTCAATACTAACACCTAGCATGGGTTAAACTGCTTTTCACACTAACATTTTCAGAGCACATTGGGAGAGAGAAAAAAAAATAGGATGCAAATTCCCAATTCAGAATGTGAAAAGGAGTGTGGCTTTCTGGTATGTGGTCCATCTCTCAGGACAGGGAAAGGCATGTTGGACCAGATTCTGCTGTCAGTGCAATGCCAATTTTTACTTCAGCAGAGTCACCCTGGAGTTACTGCATCACTGAGAGGAGAGTCTGGTTTATTACTTAAAATGTAGGTCAATATAGCTACAGTACTAAGGGGCTGTGTCTAGACTGGCCAGTTTTTCCGGAAAATCAGCCGCTTTTCCGGAAATACTTGCCAGCTGTCTACACTGGCTGCTTGAATTTCCACAAAAGCACTGACTTCCTACTGTAAGAAATCAGTGCTTTTTGTGGAAATACTATGCTGCTCCCATTTGGGCAAAAGTCCCTTTTGCGCAAAACTTTTGTGCAAAAGGGCCAGTGTAGACAGCTGAGATTTGTTTTCCGCAAAAAAAGCCCCGATCGTGAAAATGGCGATCGGGGCTTTTTTGCGCAAAAGCGCGTCTAGATTGGTACGGACGCTTTTCCGCAAAAGCACATCGTTATAACGCATACTCCATGCCAATCTAGACGCTCTGTTCCAAAAATGCTTTTAACAGAAAACTTTTCCGTTAAAAGCATTTCCGGAAAATCATGCCAGTCTAGACAGCCAGGGTGTTTAGATTTTTTTTTTTTTTTTTTTTTAAACTCCTGAACTGGGTAGCTAAGCTGACCTCACTCTTGGCATCGATGCTGCTAGGTCAACAGAAAAAAGTATGTTTGCACTGATCTAGCTTCTGTTATGCAGGAAGGGGGTGCACCTTCAGCAATGGAAATAACCTTTCGGTCATGGTAGGCTCCATCTACACTACCAGGTTTGGGGACACTCACATCTACAACCACTCAAAATGTGCATCCCAAGCCCATGTCTAGTTTAAATGCATCTATGTATCTTCTCTAAAATCCTCTTTCTTCAAAACTTTTTTCCTGGTTTGACCTCTCTTTCCGATCTATTTTTACTTTCCAAAGTAGACTCTCAGCTACCTGCACTGATGACTGGGCTCACTTGAGGAGGAATGCTGCCACATATGACCTAGCCCAGCATATGGTAGAGATGCCTGGGAACTCTGTCAAAACTCTCTCAAGCTATGTCTCCAAAGGGACAAAACTCCAGCAAAGGACAGCTGCTGTTCAGTGGTGCCCTGGCTTTACTCCCACCCTGCTTCCTATACCAGGGGCTGCAGGGATAAGTGATGTAGAAGTTGGTGTAGCCAGATCCTTCCTCAGCTGGTGACCCCTCACCCGCACACCACACACACACACACACACACACACACACACACACAATCCCCATCTGATGTACTCTGGTGATGAAAGGGGCCAATTGAGCTGCCAGACTGGCACAAAAGAGGAAGATCACAAGATCGAATCTGGTCCTCAACATCAATGTTCCCTCTAATTTTTTCCATCTATGTGTGGAATAAATTTTGTTATGTGCACCGAGACATGTGCAGTTGTGCTCCACCAACAGAAACACAGGCTGCTGGCGCTCTGCTGATCAGTTGGGTGGCATTTGAATCTCTCCTGGGTGGCTGCCCAAGCACATAGCTTAGAGGGAACACTGCTCAGCATTCACTTTCTTCTTCTTGCTTCCATCTCTCCCCACCATTATCCTCCTCTGCTGCATTTCTAGCTTCCCTTGGGTCTCCTCTCCCCTCATTTCTGTCCCCCCCTCTACCCGCACCTCTTCTCTTGCTCCTCTCAGAATAGGAACCAGAATACTGGTCCTGCTGACCCTCCTAGCACAGCTGATGGGAGTATTTCAAAGAGGGTTGGGTGGCAGAGGGAATGCATGGTGTGGCTGTCAGCCTCCAAAGGCAGGTGAGTTGACAGCTCTGTATTAATGATACATAGACGGGGCATTGACATGGGCTTAACACCAACCTTGTTTGGCAGAAGCATGTATCTGGAAACTGAGCCCTCAGCTACATTCTCACATACTGATCTGGGCTAACAAAACAGAGTGGCTCATACAGCGTACAATGGCTGCTCTCAAAGAGCACGTCAGCGGGGATTCAGTGACAAGGGTATATCCAGCATCCATTAAGACTAGCAATATACTACCACCAAAAAGAACAATCAGCCATTGAAACTGCCAAAGCCTAGTTTAAGAGATTAGAGGAGCGATTTCAAGGATTGCCCAGTGAGGTAGATTTATATATTTTTAAAGTTAGGAAGAGAAACCATTATGATCATCTAGTCTGTCCTTCTGCGTGACAAAGGCACTTTAAACGCAAGGGCTTCAAATGTTGTTTTCAAAACACAGTGGCGTGTCAGTTTTGATGAAGGGATACAATCTGCACAGACTGAGGGTTTTACCCAGCAAAAGCTAATCATGTCAATTGACCCTTGTCACATTCCAACAGCCGGTGGATCAGTTTGTAAATGTTTCTAGTCCGGCTTTGTTTATGTTATTATACATAAGAGCAGAATAAGCACTCAAATGAAATGCAATCCAGGTGCTAAAGTGAAAGCAAGTGAAACACCCCAGAAAGCTGTGCTGATACACACAGTTGGAGTTTGGCCCCTGGATTTACTCTCTGATCATACAAGAAGGAAAAAAAGGCAAGCTTGATGAACTAAGCTCCCCCAAAGATAGCTTCCCACAAGTGAAGAGAACGATAGCTAAGAGACCAATCCTGCTTCCATCTAAATCAGTGGGGTCAGGAATCAAAGTGGAGCCCTTAAGCGCTCATTTAACTGTTAAATCAGAACTCTCTGCTAAGC